TGCACTCAGAGCTGCAATAACCAGCAGAGAAGCCGATGTATTCATCCCTCTGTATAGGGCTGTCGTAAGACCCCCCTAGAATAATTCGTCCAAACTTGGGCTCCCTAACGAATAATTGACGTAGACAGGTTAGAAAAAGTGCAACGGTTAGCCACCAGAATGTTTCAAAAAACCAAAGGGTTATCCTACGAATACCGGCTTCGGCATCTGAACCTCTTCTCTATGCGTAGGAGACGTTTAGGAGGAGACCTGATCGAAGTCTTCAGGCAAACGAAGAATACTGATCTAGGTATCCTACCTGTGACATCCATGAGAAAACTAAGAGGCCACGAATGTCACCTAGAAAAGAATAGAAGTAGGTTGGACGTGAGGAAACATTCCTTCACCAGCAGAGTGGTCAACTTCCGGAATCGCATCCCCGGAAGACTCGTTGAACTAAACACAGTGCAAGCCTTAAAGATGGAATTATATAGAGTATGCGCCGAGACCTTTCCAGAAGTGACCTAAAACAGAAGGGAAATAAGCTCCTTCTTTTATTCTCCCCACTCCCACGTTTGACATAGCGTGGTGCACATGCGGAGCATGCATCCGCAGGAACGCTTACGCTTAAGTGTACGTAAGTCCCTCGCCGACACGCCGAGAAGACAGTTTGTTCCTTCTCTACCGACGAGGTCGAGCCAGAATCAGAACAACCATAAGGCCGAGGACTCTACGTCATAGAAATTTGGATTGGATAGGATTGGTTTTGTGGCAAAGAAGTCCTGTCTGTCAAACTTGCTGGAGTTCATGAATGAGATCACCCAAAGGCTCGACCGAGGGGAGCGTGCAATAGTGTGTTCCATGTTGCCTTTTTTCGAACAACCTTTCTTTGCAGATGCGGAACCGAAAAGAGAGGCTGTTCTAGATGAAGAAATTGGCTGTGGCCAAACTGTTGGCAATAATTCGAAGCCCCGGAAGAACATTTGTTCCGGCTGGAGTGAGAATCATTACGCTTGGTTGACCAAATCACCTCCCCGTCTGTGCAACCTGACCTGTCCTGAACATGGGATCTGAAAGAAAATTGCATTGAAATTTGAATGAAAATGAAAAAACGGAAGTTCTTCAAACGCATGAATATTTTGTGGTGAGCACATTCTTTCGCAGGTTAGGCTTGTGAATTTGTTTAAGCGCGCACAACTGTTTGGCGCGCCCAGGTTTCACGTTTCTCGGAGGTCATGGTGCAGGGTGGAAATAAAACTCGCAGGACTACAAGGAAGGGTGTTGCTACACGGGAATACACTATTCATCTGCACAAGCGAATCCATGGCATTGGTTTCAAGAAGCGTGCTCCCAGGGCGATCAAGGAGATAAAAAAGTTCGCGAAAAAGATGATGGGCACTGAGGACGTCCGCATTGGTGTTCGTCTTAATGAGTAAGTCGAGATTGATAGTTTCATTATGGCCCAAAGGTTTATTTGGTCGAAGGGCGTACGCAATGTCCCATATCGTGTTCGCGTACGACTGGCTCGCAAGACCAACGAGGACGAGGATAGTCCACACAAATTCTACACCTTGGTCACTTATGTTCCCTGCACGGACTTTAAAGGCAAGCAGATCATCAATGTGGAATCAGCCGAGTAGCATGTAAATAAATACTTCTCTGGTTTTTCCGTTTTTTCCCGCTTATGTGCATTGGAAGTAGAACGTCAGCGTTTACCCCTAATGATGCGGTATTCTTATTACTGCGAAGGTAGTCAGTTGATGGCGGTATACAAATGTCCTTTTTTGAGGGGAATTCGGAGGAAGGCGTACTGATTTGACATCCAGTTTATTGTCTTAATACACGGATTGCGGTGGTCGGAAACAGATTTCAGTAGCTTTGTGTTGGGTAGTTCTCAGTGTCGGGTCAGTTGAGTCGTCCGGCGTTAGACAGTCACGGCGAAGTCCCCCAGGGAACTCGTGCCAGTGACACTAAGGTGCATATGCACAAAGCTGGAGGGCAATGGTTTGATGGGTGAGCTAAGTGACTGAGAGACATCCCCGGTTAACTGTAATGTGAGGTGATGCCGATTTTTCGAGTGGAGTGTATATTTTGTGAAATGATTGGGCACGCATAGTATATAGTACTCGGTTTCATCTTAGGAAGCTATTTACCAATCACCATTGTGGTTGTTTCTGGCTGCCGTAGAAGAAAGAGTAGAGAAAACAGCGGTTTGACACGGTGTCGAAGTGGAAAAGGAATCCTCGTGAACTGAGGTTTCAAAGAGGATGAACAATCGCCACTGTTCGCGACGCAGCCGTATCATCTATCGAGCAATCGGCGGTTGAATTGGTTCCGAAGTTCCCATCCAGGGAGCCTGATGCGACCTGGTTTAGGTTCTCATGGTGAATCTTGGTTTGACCGCTCTTGGAAGTTTCGTGCCCATTAGCTTCCTCGGTCGGCTTCACGCGCCGTGGCAACCTATTTGATATAATACAACCCATACTCAAAACAAAGCAGTATATGAAACGCGGTTAGTCGACCAGTTCCGCTTGTCACCTAATTTTTGCAGTCCAACGTATACAGCGGTGTTCGAGCATAAGTACTAGTGAGGACTTTGCTTTCCTCTACCCGCAAGATATCTCCATATTGAGATTATCCACGTCCTTGGCGATAGCCCGGTTGCCATGTCAGGGACCTGGAAATGCTAAGGAGTCTGCACAACATCTCTGTGGTGGTAGTCCAATCAGGCCGAACTCTTTATGGACTGTTTCAGCTATAAAGTCGTCGGACATAATACTTTGTCGCTGATAATTTCTACTGAATTAAAAATGCTGCGCATATCTGGCGGTCTATACACAGTAGAAAGACCCAGTTAGTCATCGGATTACATCCTCGTCATCAAATTTGAGGAGTGCTTTTCCTAAGTGAGTCGACGCGGACATCAACATCCGAGGGCGCGTAGCCACAGCTTATCTGAATGTTTTGCTGAATGCGGTATTTGCACAGCTTTCGATCGGTTGTGGTGTCCGGAGCCGTAACGCACCGGTACTTCCGACGGCGGCTCCAGTCCATTTGGCATGCTTAAAATTCCTTGATATTCACCGGATAGAATGTCTGTCACTCAGTTGAGTGAATATAGAACAGGTTACTTCGTTAACGTATCTGGGCTGTCGAGCAGCGCAGCTGAGATCATTTACCTCTCGAAACTGCTGAGTAAGACAGTCAATGATTGTATTAAGCCCGATATGTTCGTCCATTGTAATTTAAGGGTCTTGTAGTTCAGAACCGATTCATCAGTCAAAGTTCGGAAGGATTCCTGTTTGGGAATAAAATTTGTTTCGTCGCTGTTTGCTTCCTTCGGTTCACCTCAAAGATGCATCCATATCCAGTAGCCAACTGGGAATAAGCTTGAGGAACTTGGTCTCATCCCACCCCCCGACTACCTGATGAACACTGCTTTGCTGATCGAACGTCTACCGGCACCAGTGAAGGAACCTGGAGTGAAGTTGGAAACCCTTAGGGAACACTGTCTCTTGAATTCATGAACTCAATTTAATGCGATTGACTGTACGATTGGTGGTAGCTTGTAGCGTAACAGTTCACGCGTTTAGTCGGCAGACAAACCAGAAGAAAATGCCTTAATGATAGGCTTCAATCGATCAAAAACGGCATGGGAGCTAAAACGGAAGAAATAAAGTGCTAAAATATGCACGCAGAATAACAGCAATTTATGCAACGGAAAGAACAGTAGTGATACATCTATGACATTCACCGTCGCTCAGATAACGAAGATGATTAGAAGTTTGTTTCGGATATCCCAAGGGACGAGAGTGGGGAGTGTTCACATTGATGCGATGCTAAACCTCACGGTTTCGAAGGCAATAAAGCCTCACATTTTGTTTCAAAGAAGACCTTGATCACTAAGAGATTCCAGTGGGTGGTGGCTCAGTGGTTTAGTCGCCGTCGCTGGCGTGTTTTAGACCCCTAGGTTCGAGCCTCGCCACCTCCACTCAACTTTGGTGCAGGCACATTTTTCTTTTATCCTAGCGGGACCTTACGGGGTTCCCCAATCCAGATCCCGCGACTTGGATTACCAGTTTTCAACATTGAGCAGCAGATCCTCCTGACTATGGGGTTCGCCCCGTCTGCTGTTCATCTTACAAAGGTGTGTAATAACATTAATACTAATAAACTGTTTGCGAATCGGATGTGCATGGCATGTCTCTGGGTAGAGGGGATTCCGCGCAAGACTGACAAAGCGATGGGTGGTGATGAAGATGGTCGTTCAACGGGAGCTAGATGACGAAGTGTTTGTTCTCGAGCATTAGGGAGACGTGTGTGAGCATATTCGGAGTTGCTCTCCGATAGTACAACCTCTATCATGGTGTCGAGCGAATGTTTTTTCGATATGGCACGGCGCCAGGTGTTAATAATCAATGAGGCAGATTGATGCTAACCGCAGGTTTTCGATTGCGGAGAATCACGTTCGTGGGGCGTCGCGTCGATAGTAGCAAGTAATGCATCGGGTAGCACCAACCCTTAGTGATCAGCCGCTAGATCCTTCGAACGGAGACAGATCGATGCTGTCTTCCACATGGTTGAATGCAGCCGTTCAACCTGATTAGTTTCAGTTTGAATAACCATTAACCATGCACTTGTGTGCGCCGGTCTCGGGGTTCCTCGCACGAGCAATAAATAATAAATAAATAAATAATAATAAATAAATAATAATAATAAATAATAATAATAAATAAATAATAAAGTTGAACAGAAAAGGAGGGTAACCCAGACGAACACCACTTTCCGTAGCTAATCCGGGCTGTAGGAAACCACGTGGAGTTCAGCAGATGACGTGGAGAAGAGGCATCAAAACTGCATCGCGCCATTCAGGTAGAGTAGGTGTCACGCACCTTCCAGGTGGGATCCGAAAGAATCCACAACCGGTTGGTTGCAGACATTGAAGGATATGGCAGCGAACCGACAGCAGTGTCGTTCTTGTTGCCAGTTCTTATCAGGCCGGAATCTCTGAGGCGGTATATACGCAGAGTTCGATTGCGTACTCTGTGTTGACCAAAGAGGTTCACTTTCTTCCCCTTCCCTCGAAATGGGTCCAATCCCTGTCCACCTTAAATTTTATCACTAACCTTGTATGCATTGCAAGTTTGACAGCGATCAGTGAAATTCTCCTCACTGTATTTCGCTGTACGACTATGATGATGATGATGGTGAGTACCGTAACCACTTAGGGTAATACTCAGCTCAGCAGCACCGCGATCGAAGATATTTGACTTTGGTGTGTTAAATGCTACAGAACCCCAAAACGACCCGAGGCTCAAGTTTCGGGTCCGAGCTTACGGCACTTTTTCACCTGAGTTCACCACGGAAAGTGGTGTTCGTCAGGGCTGTCCTCTCTCTCCGTTTCTATTTAACTTCGTGATAGATTCAATTCTTGAAATAGAAACGGAGAGAGAGTACAGCCCTGACGAACACCACTTTCTGTGGTGAACCCAGGTGAAAAAGTGCCGTAAGCTCGGACTCGGTTTCGGCTATTAGTAGAAAGCGGTTGTGGTATTGCGATTAACTTCTCGGGCACACCCTTCAGATAAAGGCACCGCCAGATTTGAGAGCGGCCGACTGAGTCGAGATCCGCTTTCAAATCGAGAAAAGCGGGGGTGGTGGGTCTACGAAAGGAATGTCGATGCTCCAGAGTTTGACAAAGTGTGAAAATGTGGTCAATGCAGCCTCGACCAGGTCTGAAACCAGCCTGGTTCTCACGCGTGCACCGTTC